AATACTAGTAAAGTAGAAAGACAATCTAATCACCATTCGACTCGTCATTATGAGACAATTCCAACGAGCTGTGGTGCATCTTTCTACAATTATTGGATGCCGAGTTATTAAGTAAAATGTCAAACGGTACAGTATCACAAAATATAAAATGCCAATTTTTGACATTTCGCTCAATATCTCAGCATTTAGTGATCGTAAAAAAGATGATTTAACCACCATTTGACTTGTTGTTATGAGACAGTTCCAATGAGCTATGGTGCATCTTTCTAGGATTATTGGATGTTGAGTTATTATGTAAAACGTAATATTTTTAGGTTTCGACAATTTTGACATGTTGAAACTATTTTAGTATTTCAACAAATTAGAGAGCCAATGTCGAAATGTCAAAATAGTTTCAACAATTTTGACATACTGAAACTTCCTAATTTTAGTAGGTAACTTTATTCACAACTTTACTATGCATTTTACTTTAAGATTAAATACCAAAATTAAACATATAATAATAAATCAGTATATGCTGATTTTAATACCTGTTAAAATACTATTTACAGTCAAACTTCGATATACTGATGCTTCCAGTTTGGGGAAAAAGTATCGGTACATTGAAATATCGGTACATATATGTAATTAGTGGATTATAATGCAGGCCAAAATCTAACTCTGGCTCGCACTATACTTAATTCCAAGTCCAAAATTTCCAAAATTTCTTGAATATATTATGTATAATGTGAATATGATTACAGTCAACCTTTGTTATAATGAACCCTAGGGTTCAGACCTCAACTTCGCTATAAGACTATAGTGAAGATTTTAAGAGATTTGATTGGTTAATTCGTTATAGCGAGGGGAAATTTATTATAATTGTCTGAAAAATTCACTATATCAAGGGTTCGCTATATCAAGGTTTGACTGTATAGAAAAAAATCCAATTCCGGACATAATTAAGAATGATGCTCAAATTTTAAAGTTACAATTTTTTAACTCAGGCCAAACTTATAGTGCCGGCCAGAATTAACACTAGTGTAACCAAAATTATCAGTACATCTTAATATACATTACTATAAAGGGACCAGGAGGTTGTATCGGTATACGTTACATCACGAAATTATATATAATATCGGCATAATGAGGTTTTTTTATTAGTGATGAAACAGGATAACAAAAATTTATCGGTAAAAGCAATTATCGGTATATAGAGTATCGGTACATCTAAGTTTGACTGTATATCTAAAATAAAATACTTCTTCAATAATTTCTTGATTTTCTACAGGACTTTCTGCCATTTCTATAGAGGATTATTTAAGAAATCTGTGTAGTACTTGTAAGTTTTTATCAATCTTTAACACATTGTTCAAAAAAAAAACAAAAAAAAAATTTTTTTTTTTACTTTGCAAAATATGAAAGTTATCAAAATTGATCAAAATTGATCAGATCAGCAGTTGTTAGCTATACTGTACAAACTGTCATACAATCACACAAATTATGTAATATACAGTACAATTTAGCTGATCATATAGTACAGTTTATATGTATACTCAAAAATTTACCCACAAATCTATATATTTCCAAGTAGAGCTCCGAATGGGTTAGGTCAGGTCAGGTTAATTGATAAACCTGACCTGAAATTTTTTTTCAGGTCAGGTCAGGTCAGGTTATATCAGGTTGTCTGTTTGACCTGACCTGACCTGAAACCTGAAAAATTTCAGGACTATTTTTATTAAAGTATTGAAAAAAAATGGTACAAAACTTTTTTTTTTTAATATAATATTATGAAAAAAAAACGTTTTTGCACCGTTTTTTATTAAAATATTGAAAAAAAATATTGCAAAACGTTTTTTTTAATATAACATTATTCTATATAAAAAAAGTGAATTGCAATACCGCAACTCACTTTTTTTATACAAAATCAATATAAAAAAGTGAATTGCAATACCGCAACTCACTTTTATTATATAGTAGAATTAATAGTTTCAGGTCAACAGGTCAATCAGGTCAGGTCAATCTTCATACCTGACCTGAATTTTTTTTAAAAATCTCATACCTGACCTGAATTTCAGGTCAGGTCAGGTCAGGTGACCTGAATTTGGCTGACCTGTTCGGAGCTCTATTTCCAAGATTATTAGACGCTATACTGATGATGTAAATAATGCATCTATGGTCATTAATAGCTATCTTTGCAAAGGTGAATTTGTTGTATTTGATCTTAGCAAATTGAAGGATGATCTTCTTGCAATTCGGTTAAGATTTAATACTTTACTGAACTTGCAAAAAGAAATAAAGCCTCATAAAGGTGAGGCAGAAGTGCAAGGAAAAAAGCGTCTCAACTAATAAGTAGAATTTAACTTTATAGATACTAACTTTTTTCATAATTATAAAAAATTGGAATGGAAGAACCAGTTATTTACAGTATATCGATCCTCAAAAAGTGCGTAATCTTGATTGAGATTTCATTTTGCAAGAGCTCTATTATTGACCTGAAGGTTACTATCAAACTGCTGAAAAAATGCTAGATGCTTGCAAGAAAGCTGGGTATAAGTTCACTCTATCTATGATAAAAAAAATGGCTAAATAAACAGGCTTTACATCAAATACACAAGCCTCAAATTCATTCAGTACGCCTCTTTTAATGACTAAACGATGTACATCAATCTGATACTACCTGAATAATACTAATATAACTCACAAATGATTGGCATGCATTTACTTTTAACTCTACGTGACTTTTTTTTTCATAGTAACGCTACGCAAATCTTAGTTCAAAAAATTGTTATAATGCGTTTCACATTTTTCTATTAAAATATTAATAAAATGGTGCGAAACTCACTATTTATTTGTTAAAATAGTGCGTTTCGCACTTTTTCTATTAAAATATTAATAAAATGGTGCGAAACTCTCCATTTATTTGTTAAAATGGTGAGATTTGCACTTTTTTCTATTAAAATGTTAATAAAATGGTGCGAAACTCACCATTTATTTGTTAAAATGATGCGTTTCACACTTTTTTCTATTAAAATATTAATAAAATGGTGCGAAATTCACCATTTATTTGTTAAATGGTGCATTTCGCACTTTTTTCTATTAAAATATTAATAAAATGGTGCAAAACTCTCCATTTTTTGTTAAAATGGTGCGTTTTGCACTTTTTTCTATTAAAATGTTAATAAAATGGTGCGAAATTCACCATTTATTTGTTAAAGTAGTGTGTTTCGCACTTTTTTCTATTAAAAAATATTAAAATAATGCGAAATGCATTACTTTTTGTTACTATATATAATTTTTATAATTTCCTTTTTGCAATCCAAATAAGGTTCAGCTTTCTGGTGAGGTTCAGAGAAAAGATGGGGAGCCACTCTATAACCCAAACTCATTAGAAATAATGCGATTGATTTCTGGGACACCATTAAGGTGAAAAAAGTCAATGGTTGAATTGATAAGCCAGGCAAGAAAATAAGTTAGCATATCATATCATATGATAATTGTGAAGATTCTTCTCACTAGAAGCAGGATTTACTGGATATTTATCACCGATGAAATTATGATCTATTGCATTATATAATAAATAAGCGAATAGCAAAAAATTAATTTTCTCTTTTTTATTTACGATCGGTTATTATTACATTATTGGGATATAGAGTTTTAGCTTGTGATACATGTTATGTCATATGACAACCGTGAAGACTCTTTTCACTTCCGGCCAATAAAAATATGTGATCTACCAGCTGAGATTTTCAATGAAGTATGCAGCGCAATATATATATGATGCGGGTTCGGAAAAAAGAAACAGCTTGTCGAAAGGCTCGGCAAGAATCTCCGGGCTTCGCGCTTCCGATATCGTACTGCGCATTTCAGGTGATCGATCTGCAAAGAATTATTTTAGCGACCATGAAAAACCGTTCCCGATCAGAATCATGTGACTCCACGCAGTGGATAAAAAATTATCAAAAAATGAATTTATTTCGGTGCAACTGGCACGTAACCTCCTTTTTTAACACATTCGCATATATTGGTTAAAAATTACTAGTCTAAATCGTGGAAAAAAACTATTTCAATGTAAACTTTTATTTTTGACATTCACGTATGAACGCTACTACAAATAATAATCATATTTTTTTGTTTGAAAATAAAACTAATGCTATGAACATGAAATGCAGTTTCGGATTGAAAATTCAGGTGAGGTTGCTGGATGCTTAATTAGCTCCCTTATGACATCTGGATATTCTAAAACAGATACGATTACGAACTCCATCAATTCAAATATTTCAATGAATTGGAACCGGAAGTCCCAACTAAGTGGAAAAACCGCAGAAAATTCTTCTTCATCCTTATAGTCATTTTTTCCTCTTAAAAATAACGTTCTAAGAGTTAGTCGATCTCCTATGATAAAACGGTTAAAAAATAACAAATGAAAGTCTGTCTTTTGATCAAAATAACAATTAACGGAAAAAAATACTTACTAATCCCTTGAATCGTTAGTGAGCGAATTCTCTCTGCGAATCTTACGTCATAATTCAAATAGTTCAAAAGCATCGAATTTAGGGAATCAATTCGCTCCTGAAGCGTCTTATATGTATCACCAATTGAGTGTGGCTTTAAAAAGTCTGTTGGAGCACCATTCATCTCCAAAAAGACAACCTGCCGGCTGTCAGAAAGCCGAACCCCAACCATGTCTGCTTTCATCCGATATTTATTTGTAGTGTTTCCTTCGAATACAAGCCGTTCGTGTGTTGGCTCGATATCAATGATTTTCAATTAATATGTAAGTAGTCAACAATGAGTTTATAAGTTAAGAAAAGAACAGCACTCACCACTGAAATTTAATTTTGTTTATGAACGTCGCTTGCATGTAAGTGAACATCGGAGAAATTTTATCGACAATCCAATCCCTCTCAACTTCGTCAATGGTCATTACATGACTGGGAACATCAATGATTTTATTTATACTAATGATCAATCAACATTTGATTAGAGTACATATTATACATTAAAAAGACAAAAATAACTTACAAATCCATTAAGACTTTCCCGATGTATTTTATCATAATTTCTTCGAATCCATTTGCGGGTGTATATTTATATGTCAAAATGTTAATTCGGGCTTCTTCAATCGAAAACTGCAAAAAAACAATAGAAAAAAAGAATAACAAAGCTCAGCTCATAAATGATTATTAAGCAGTTGTAGGTAGCTCTTTACTGACCTCCAGAATTCTTTCTAGCCACGCATGCCAATCCATAGCTATGAACGGATTATCTTTTTTCTCCGAACCTTTCGACTCCTCTTCAAAAGCTTTTTGATCATCTTTTTCTAAACCTTCCAACTCGTCTTCGAAAGTGACCTCAGCTTTTTGACCGTCCTTTTCTGGCTCAACTTCTTTTGACTCGTCTTCGAAAGTGACCTCAGCTTTTTGACCGTCCTTTCCTGGCCCAACTTCTTTTGACTCATCTTGTTAAAAAACAACCTTAACTTTTCTGTAAAAGACACTTGCGGGTACATTTCTTTCATCTCCGGTTGGATAATTGGTTTGTTGGGAGTAATTGGATAATCACGCTTGCGTTTCTGACCATAATGACGACAATTATTATTAATAGAATTTAATAATACAGAAATTTAGGAATATACTTACTAAGGAGTGAGAAGAAACCTCCCGATTAACTTCTTTGAACGTTATAACATGCTATTACAGATATTGACGCCGATTTTTCCGCGACGTACACACTCCAGTCTTTATTGAAAATCCCCCTTCTGCATAAAATAAATGTATTAAAATTCGTATCAAAAGAGATAAATTATGCGTATCTATGTTCTCACCATCCATTTTTCCTGAATTTCTTGAAACATTGACATTCTCTTTTCTGGAATACCATTTGATAGTGTTAAAGTGCACTAAAATATGTGTTCGTGGCAATGCTTTTCGTTTTACGATTCAGGTGTCGATAAAATTCCAATGGTTCGGGGTTGAACGAACATAACATTCATTCAATATTGGACCTATCTTTACCGGATAACTTGACATATAAAGAAAGTACAAAATGGATTACTTAGTCAAATGTTTTTTTATGAGAATAGAAAGCCCTTTGAGCACACTTTAAGTAGAATGTACTCCGAGGAAGGTCGGTACGACCGAAGCCTTACACGATGGGTTATGGTAGTAACTTATTGACTAGACTGCCATTGTGCTTAACCAGCCTCTTGCAAGACTGTGCGACCGAAGCCTTACACGATGGGTTATGGTAGTAACTTATTGACTAGACTACCATCGCGCTTAACAGTTTGCAAGCCCAGAAGAATATACTTGTAATAAAATATGACTTACGTTCGAAGAAATGATTAAAAGCTCGTTGATAGCGTTGTTATCCCTCTAAAATATTGTACAGTAGAGTTGAGAAATTTTCCCGAGTTGGCCGAGTATTTATCTCATTTCATCAGTATACGTCATACGTGAGCGAGTAAAAACTGCGCATTTTTTCAGGTGATCGGTCTCACTCTCACATGACGGAGTTTCTATGCAACGAAACCGAGATCTTTCCTTTTACAGAGATAAGTTAGTAAGAAATCAAGGTAATGATAAATAAGGTTTAACTACTACCTTCTCCTTTTCATCGTATAATTTCGTTCCAATATAATTTTGATCCACCGTTTTGACATTCAACTTTAACCTTTTGAAGATGTAAAGGTATAAGGATGTGAGTAATTGTAAAATGTGAGTGATAAAAAATATTATAGGCAAATCTATGGGAAGCTCAGCACGTTGACCAGATACTTTTGAACAGCACGTTGACCCCTCAAGAGCGCTATCCCATTATTTGCCCAGCACGTTGACCAGATACTTCTTGAACAGCACGTTGACCCTTCAGAAGCGCAATTATGCAAAATTAAAGATAAATATAAAAAACAAAACTTTCTTTTGTATTTCTTCAGACTTGTCTGGAACATGAGTTTGTACGGCTCTCATAACTCTCACATGACGGAGTTTCTATGCTACGAAACCGAGATATTTCCTTTTACAGAGTCAAGTTAGTAAGAAATCAAGGTAATGATAAATAAGGTTTAACTACTACCTTCTCCTTTTCATCGTATAATTTCGTTCCAATATAATTTTGATCCACCGCTTTGACATTCAACTTTAACCTTTTGAAGATGTAAAGGTATAAGGATGTGAGTAATTGTAAAATGTGAGTGATAAAAAATATTATAGGCAAATCTATGGGAAGCTCAGCACGTTGACCAAATACTCTTGAACAGCACGTTGACCCCTCAAGAGCGCTATCCCATTATTTGCCCAGCACGTTGACCAGATACTTCTTGAACAGCACGTTGACCCTTCAGAAGCGCAATTATGCAAAATTAAAGATAAATATAAAAAACAAAACTTTCTTTTGTATTTCTTCAGACTTGTCTGGAACATGAGTTTGTACGGCTCTCATTAAACGATTTGACCAAGCGCTATCTAGTCCACTCCAATCACCAGTAAATGGGGTGAATTAATCAATATATCTCGTTTGAGATATAAAAAATTTTGATAAGTTGGTTCTTCATATTTTTCAAGATAAGATAAAAGAGCTGGAAAAAAGTGGTTAGATCCAAAAACAATATTAATAATCGAGCGGCTTGGAAAACCAAAAATACCTTTGTAACCAGATATTGTACAGTAGAGTTGAGAAATTTTCCCGAGTTGGCCGAGATTATATAGAGCGTACGGTGAGCTATGTGCGTAGCATACGGTGCGACATGTAACAGTTGACGTGGTACAAATGTGACAAATAACTAAACAACACACTCAAATCACGTGATAAATATATGTTATATGACACATCCCATTACTTTAATGCATAGTCACGTGAAAGCGTCACACCCGTGTACAACGTATACGCGACACCATAGTGACCATACAGACGTACATAGCTCACCGTACGCTACATGTTTCCTGCGTACCGTTGGCCGAGTATTTATCTCATTTCATCAGTATACGTCATACGTGATGTACTGCGAGTAAAAACTGCGCATTTTTGATCGGTCTCACTCTCACATGACGGAGTTTCTATGCTACGAAACCGAGATCTTTCAAAAAAAAAAAAACTCTCTCCCCTTTCCGTTTTTTTTAATACAATTCCGCAGTAAGCGTCAAATTTTCTCACACAAATAAAATTTTTTGAGGAGCGAGGATCACGGGGTGGCCTCAACGGAAAGGCCTCCTCTTTAATATCACTTTTCGCCCCTTGAGAGAGATGTGGGTGAATTTCAATACCACACCACAGAGCCTACTCCCTTTATTATGTCAAATAATAGACGCGCCTGCATTAATTATCACAAAAACCTAGAATTATACACAAAAACCGTAGATACACCTACCCATACACCTTCCCCCAAGGCTTATCATGCAGAACTCCTATTTAAGTCTTGGAACGAATGCAAAGTCAAACAAATCTATTCCCATCGCCAAGGTATTTCTTACACGGTGAGATACCAGGCCAACGGACATTACAATGTGCTCTCGATGCAAAGTAAATACATGTATCGAAAACGATTTGAAAATTTACAATTCAATCGTAGTAACAAAGTTAACACCGCCCTGAAACAAAGGGATCGATACTGGTGTAAAAGCAGAAGAATCCCTTTCCTAAGACACGATGGTCGTTTCCTCAGACTTTCTGACAAATATTACCGTAATCAACGTGGAATTCTGAGTTCGTTCTCGGATGTATACATCAAGCCTATTAAAAATTTACGTTACATAGAACAAAAGAAAGCTATATGTTTTAAATCTTAGTGTTTATAAATTTTCAATTCCTTGGTTCATTCAAACTTCCAAGGCTTGGAAAAAACGAAACCTGGCTGTAGAATCTGGTGATTCTTCACAAGACACACCCACATCTTCGTCGTCGAATCCAATAACTCCTACTATTTCATTACCTGCTATGGAAAAAAATCTACCGACAGTGGGTTCGTACGGACCTTACAATTTCGACATCCCCACGGACCTTTTACCTTACGTTCCTCCTGGACACCTATATGTAAACAAAAAGGCTAAAAGGAGTAAAATTATCCCGCCTGGAAGTCCAGAATGGATTGATAAAATCAAAGTAATCCAACAAGAATACGAAACCTATTATGAACTATTGAAAATAGCCGAAGATCAAAAAGCTAAATTTCTTGGTACATCATCTAAACATTTACACAAGAGGAAAGGTCTAGTATCTGACCTCACCAAATATACAGACACCTTTGACAGGAAATTCACCAGTCTCCTTAATCGCCGTGCATGTTGCACAAAACAAAAAGCTATAATGCAAGCGAATGAAGATTTCAAGACATTCCAACCCGATTATTTCGAAGTGTGTGATGCATCCGCACCTCAATATGAAGACAAAGGGGGTCGTCTAAAGCCGTGTTCGATCATGTGACTTGACATTTTATGAATAAGCCATTTTTTTATGAACTAAGATTAATGTAAGTATGAAAGTTATAGAATAAGTGTATTTTGGCCTGCTTTACAAGTTTACTTAGTGAAAAAAAGCTGGTTTTAAACACTGTTTTTGACTTTACATATGAATGAATAATCTTTGCCGATCATATCCAAAAATGGATGACGAAAATGAAAAAATTCAAATAAGTCAAAAACGGTGTTCAAAACCCCATGTTGCGCACTAAGTAAACTTGCACAGCAGGCTAAAATACACATACTATGTGTAACTTGAAAGTTTTATGTATTGGCGAAAAAGTTTTATTTGTAAAAAATAAATTTTTACAAATCACGTGATCGAACACGGCTTTAGACGACCCCAGACAAAGGCAACACTTCAGACGAAACTACCACTCTTGAGTTGCGCCCTAACAAACGCAACACTATTTTAGTCTCACATGATTCTATCAACTTTTTACAGTAGTAGAAAGTAGAAAATGAATACCAAGTATTTTCCTGGTTACAAAGGTATTTTTAGTTTTCCAAGCCGCTCGATTATTAATATTGTTTTGGGGTCTAACCACTTTTTTTCCAGCTCTTTTATCTTATCTTGAAAAATATGAAGAACCAACTTATCAAAATTTTTTATATCTCAAACGAGATGTATTGATTAATTCACCCCATTTACTGGTGATTGGAGTGGACTAGATAGCACGGTGGATCAAAATTATATTGGAACGAAATTATACGATGAAAAGGAGAAGGTAGTAGTTAAACCTTATTTATCATTACCTTGATTTCTTACTAACTTAACTCTGTAAAAGGAAATATCTCGGTTTCGTTTTTTATTTTTATTTTTATTTTTATGTTTCAGAGAGTACGCAGCCGTAGTACAAATTATCAGAACAATAAAATTTAACAAAAAAATGCAGCGAGAATAATTCTAACACTACGAACCAAATCGCAAGCTGGTAAACCAGACAGACAATGACTCCTGACCTTGAAAGGGAAAGAAACGGAGTCAATCCAAGATCGCCTCCAGAACTCCCCGCCAATGGAAGGAAATAAAAACAATCGAACAAAACTAATTAAACGATCCGTATTTTTCTTTCGGCCTTGTTAAAGACCGCCACCTGTAAATACTGTCATAGGTGGAGTGTTTCACACTATTCAAAATTGTTCTATATAAGAGGGTGTCTATGATGTAGAATAGGGTTGTTATTGATTCTACAAGTAAAAAAAAAAAATCTAGACTCATTACAAAAAGAAATAAAAAAATAATTTGAATTCATTTAACCCAAAAACTGGGAGTCTGTAAATGTAAAACAGCAGTTGGGTAATAAAATATCTCCTTTGAGATATACGGGTTCTTCTAAAAAAAAACAGTAGTTAATATGGGATTCGGGTTCTTGTCCGAATACCCTAAAGATCGTGATTTTTTGTTAATGCGTTTAGCATGAAGGACTGAAGGGAGCTCTAGAAATACTGATTAGGGTAAGTGACTTAGGATAAGTTGATTAGATTTAGCGCAAAGATTTGTATTTTTTGTTCGCAGTTCTCTGCTTCTGAATGTCAGATTCTAAGCTCGCTAAAAAAACCACAGAGGAAGTAATATAAGTTTACATTACGTCTCATTATGATGAACTTTTAATTATATTTCCATGATCGAGAAAATGTGGGTTACCATTTTTGAAAAGGTACCGTGCATGCCGATTCCGCGTATTAACAAAGTATAATATTTAAGCCATATAATGCTTTTATCCAACTTAAATTTTATATTAAATTTTTTTTTTTTATTAAAAGGTAATTACAATTAATGTAAATATAAATAAACTACATAAAGTTTCTGTCTAAAAAAATTGTTTCAGATATATCAAATTTTGTAAAAAAAGTTAAAATATATCATCATCAATATTCCATTTACCTTGACCATTACCTTCAACTTTTTCCTTGCCAGCACGTTCTCTTTCTTTCCAATATTCATGATTAAACTCCCAATATAACTCGCCAGTATCTTTCTCAATCTTCTTTGTAAACCATCTTGGAACAAATTCTTTATCTACTCCTTGTTCTCTTTTCTTTCTCTTTTCTCTCTGTTTTTCTTCTAATCTAACCTTCTCAGTACTAGCTAAATCGTAATTGCCTAATTCCATAGCTCTCTGATCAGGTCTAAGACGACTATCAGTAGGAGCTATCCAAGGTACTAAATTTCCAGGCAGGTCATTTAATGTTATAGCAAAGGGTGTTAAATTAAAAGGCATTGGTTCTTCAGGTGTAGGAGATTTTTTCCATAAAAGTACGATAGGTCTTCTATATTGCAAGGAAGAAGGGCTTATTGGTGTCATAGGTATTCCATCTAAACTATTGCTATTTCCTGCAGTATGATGCTGATAAGCGTGCTCAGCAGCTTTATCACTACCCAAATCAACTTCACTAGCACCACTCAAATTAATATCACAACGTCTTGCAATTAATCTTTCATTCCATCTGCCAGCAATTTCCCAAACCTCTTGATCATTTTCGCCATCTTTAACAAAACCTCTTATCTCAAAAGCATCTTTACCTCTCCAACCTCTTGCTTTGAAAGTGAGTACACATTTATCACCGGTTAAATGATTTGTTATAATCATGTCACCATAATGATCTATCCATGGAGTACCTACAATTAAATTATTCACGCAAGTTGTAACCTTTTTCCACGAATAATGTTCAATAAATACTTCTCCATTTTCATTTGCCGGCTTCTTCAATGTATCAGGTAAAGATTTTGGCCAATAATCATTTAATACTTTTAAATTTACATGTGATACACCTTGTGGTAATATTTCAAATGATTTTCCCCAAAACTTTGATTTTACGTCCACCTCGGCAAAAAAATCATAATTTGGTGATTCACAATAACATGCACTTATTGGCTATTCGGGTATGTGAGGAAAAAGAGTGAAGTTACGTTAATATGAATAATAAACATATCTTTAATGGGTTTTTTTGTGATACTTACCGGATGATGACTAACTTGTTCCGAAATATATCTAAATGCTTTATCGGGTCTAACATATTCATATGTCTCTCCCTAATTGATTAATTATAAAATTAAAAATAGTTTCTAAAAATCTCCGTATACGATCCTACTTTACTTACCAATAACGGATTAAACGGTTTAGCAATTCTACCGACAGTGCTTGAATAATTACTCATGGCAAAAGCAGCAACATATAAAATTCTTTCGGCGCTATTTTGTTGTCTGCTAGCAGAATCCAATAACTCACTATATTCCATATCTTCAGCCATACGCTGCAACATACTAGTAGGTTCATTAAAATAAACTGGTAAAGTAATTTTACTTAAATCTTTACCTATACTATTTTTTAATATACTCCATAATGATACTTCGGGCCTCAATGATTTTTGATCTAATGGCAACCTCTCTCTAATATGTTCTGGATATCCTAAATATGAATTAGATATATATGGTTGCAGGGAGGTAGAATTAGGTAGACTAATTCCTTCTGATGATAATTCAGAAGGTAATTTTGTAGCAGATTTGTTAATATCTTCATTAACCGAACAACCATCAAATGCATCGTAAAATTCTTCATCAGAATCATATTCATCCGCCAAGGACATTGAAGAAGTTGTGATCAGATTTTCTCCACTCGTCGTCGATAACCCATTAGTAACAACGGTTAAGTCCACAGCACGTGACTGAAACTCTTCGCTCTTTCTCACTTCCATTTCACTAGATTCCCTCTGTATTGGCGTACTATTCGTTGGAGATATTAATCTTAATTGTTTTTTTCTTAATTTTTCTTCTTTAACATTATCTTGTATGATCTGTTCCATCTCATTGCGTTCAATAAATAAATCTCTCATACTTTGTTCCCATAATCTTTTGATCTCTAATTCTTTATCTAATTTTTTTCTCCAATACTCTTCCCTTTCTTCTGTCATCCTAAGAATTTCTTCGACATAATTTTGTAATAAATTTAATGATTTACTAAATGTTTCAACCAATGCTCCTTCTTTTGTTTCATTACCTTCTTCCAACGAGGATGATTGTAGTGGTAACATTGTAATTAACGCTTCAAGTTGTTGATTTTGTAAAAGAAATTGTGCTTTTGCTGAATTAATTGTCATTTGATATGAATCTTCATATGGTATTGTTTCTACTTCGATACTATCATCCGATGGTGATCTTGATCTTGATCTTTGATCATTATTTTGTTGAGAAAGACTTTCGGTTCTTCCAACTCTAGAATCATCATCTTTAATTTCTCCTGTTACGTTACGAGAAGTGGGTGACACCATTCCTCCATCTTCTCTATGATTTTGTTGTTGCCATTGAGTAGATTGAGTTAAAGCAATGGTCCATTTTTTTGCTTCAGAAGGATGATTAGCTCTTAAATGATATCTTATACTTCCCTTCCCTATGATATCGAATCTTTGTCTATCAGAAGAATCAATAGAAATTTTTGCTATCTTCATATTTATACTACCTCTACATGAATTTCCCGCATCATCTTGATTTTTAAAATATGAAAGAATACAATTCTCTAGGACAAACCATCTACTCTTATATCCACCAGCATAATTTGTCCATTTATTTAAATAACCTTTTAATTTTGGTGGTTGATTAGATTCCAAAGTGGTTACTATTGATGTGGTTGTTAATAGCGGTGTAATTTGTTTTAATAAAGATTTAATATCATCATCTTTTGTCACTTCTATTGCCAACTTCCCCTTACGATCTCTTATTCCTACATCTGCTCCATGATCTATACAAAATTTTACCATTTCTATGTCTTTTTTCCGAGCAGAATCATGTAACAATGTTGCACCTGTTGTTGAATCTTGATGATTTATATCCACTAATGCTACTGCTCTTGGATCTGAAAATAAACTATATAGTCCTGAATAATTTGAATTAGTTATATATTGCTTAAATAATGATGTTGCATGTTCAACAAATTCGTCTCTGCTTTCTTTATACGAAAATGGAAAGAAAGAAAAAAAGGAGTTTAATATTGAATAACTTTTTTTTTTAAAAAAAAAAAAACCTAACGAAGGCCCTTTCATTCCATTACCTTTTAAAATATTGGCAATTTCCCGATTTTTAGCCAAATCGATAGGTTGTTTGCCATCCACATTCATTATTGTATCATTAATATTTTTTTGTTTTAACAGTAATTCAATAACATCGATTCTACCTCCCTTTGATGCATAATGTAATGCCGTATTCCCTAATTGGTCACTTTGATTTAGATCAATATTTTTCCCAACAAAATTTGATATGATGAACTCTATTGTGTTGGTTGTGGCACATTGTACACCTAAAGTTAGTGGTGATGGCAAATTATGTTGTGATGAGGTTGAGGAAGTGGGAGTGGAGGAAGAAGTAGAAGAAGGAACTGGAAGAGTGTACGTTGATATTAAAGTTTGTAATGTTGAAGTGTCTCCTATTAACGTGGAAAAAGGGTTAGTATGCGATTTAATAAGAAAAAAGGAAATCCTGGTTACGAAATTTACCTGATCGGAGTGCTTCTAACAGTTTATAAGTTTTTAAAGAATCTTCAACAGCTAAAAAAAAAACCAAAAAAAATAAAATAATAAAAATAAAATAAAAAATAAAAAACAATTTCTTAAGTTAAAAATGAGGAAAAAAAACTATTAATCACCTGCATTGGAATTACTTTTTATAGATAACCTTAAACTTGGAGTTGATACTCTTCTCTGTTGTTCAACTTGTTCAACTTGTGGCGTTGTTGTCATAATTATTAATTTCAAAATAATTTTTTGAATTTTTAAAAAAATTAAATACTTGAAATAATGATATTAATTAATTAAACTGATAAATAGAAAATTAAACATTCTAAATCGGAAAGAGAGAATAAAAAAAAATGATATTACTGTGCATAATTTGTTTGTTACAAAGATATGTGCATATGCACAAAATGAAATAAAATGGCTTAGCTTTTATCGTGGTAAGTTTTAACATTTTAACTTTAAAAGTTTGAATAATCATGCGTGATCGATATTAATTGGCTGATATAAATAAGCATTAATCGACGTTCATTTCTATATTTATTTCATAGTAATTATTCATGCAAAAAAAAAAAAATTTCTTTACAACTCTCAAAATGAAGTTTAATCAATTTGTTTTAATTGGTTTGATAACACTTTTATTGATTACATCGGTATCTGCGCTTCCTTCTTGGTTGGATTTTTATAAGAAAGTTAAACAAGAACATGAAAATACAAAACGTGGGTATCACAGTTTTTTTTTTCATTACAATATATCAGATATATATTCACGCTACATAATTCGAAAATTGTTATAGGACAAGATTTTCCACAAATCAATATTGGAGGTAATCTCTTTATATAATGTATATAAATATGAATTAGAATAGTTAATTAACTTAGATACTTTTCATAGTAGGAGTTAGAAAACAAGAAAGTGAAAGCGAAAATACGGACAAGCCTCTTGCGGAACGTAAGTTTGCCTGGGTTATTATTTATGATTTTTTATGGTTGAAATTTTTTTTTTTACCAACAACGATGATTTTTTAGTGTGATGATGCATACATAATACATATATAAATTAATTACATCATTTGCATGTGATATAAATAACTGATGCGTTTAATTAACGAATACAAATAAATGTCCAGATTTGACAAATTAACATAAATTGGAATTCCTTTATTTACTGCTAATACTTAAAAGCATATGAATAAAAAAAAAATAGCATATAAATAAAAAATATTATATGATAAGATTAATTCATTTATTAACAGAAGATAATCCTGCAGCTATTCTCAATGCTTCAACAGCACCTGAATAATCATAATTCTCTCCACCATTCGCCTTAACGGTAATAAGATGTTGATGAAAAATATCGGCAACTGGAAGCGGACACTCGGATTCCGCAGCAAGACGTCGCATATGGCCAACATCTTTCAAAGCATTAGTAACTGTAAATCCAGCTTCAGTAGTAAATGTATCTTTTTGCATTTTTTTACCTAATAAATAAATAAATAATAAATAAATGAAAATAAAATGAGAAATATTAATACTGTAAGGTACTTAGGTACTTACCATAATTCTGAAAAGGTCCGAATGGAAACAATAAATCAATAAATTCCATTAATTTATCCCTCCCAATACCAGTCTTTTCAGATAAAGTCATTCCTTCAGATAATAATTCAACTGCTCCTATAATGAAAAAATTTCCAACTAGTTTAAAATTTGCGGCTTTCGCCACATCTTCACCAACAGTAATTGATTTTTTCCCCAAAACAGGTATAAATAACGGCATAACATGATCAATGGAAGGTTGATGACCTGAAGTAATTATAATTAATTGAGCATTCTTTGCACCAATGGGTGGACCCCATACAGGACAACAAAGAATGTGAACATTTGGAATTTTTTCAGCTTTTTCTTTTATATTAACAATTGTTGCCGGATAAATAGTGCTCGTTTCAATTAAAATTACATTTTTTCCTTCATTGGGTTTTAATGATCCTAATAATTCATTATAAACTTGATTGACTGCTTCATCATTTGAAAGTGAGGTAAAAATAATATTAGCTTGTTCCGCAACTTGTTTTAAAGATTGAGCTGCGATTGCTCCGATTTTAACAAGTGATTCCGTTTTTGAGATTGTACGATTATAAACTATAAGAGGTTCTCTATTTTGAGATTTTAAATAATTTTGCAGATTCGTAGCCATGTGAATACCCATGGCTCCTAAACCTATAAATGCAATTCTATCTGAAGATGCCATTTTTTCCTTTGAAACAAAAACAAGAAAAAATTGGGACGTCTTTTAAATGATTCTTTAAACAAATTTCAATCTCAAAAGGGTAAAATGTTTTCCTAGAATTATTAAGCAAAGTTACGCCCGATTACTAATAAATCTCTTAATAACAAAATTATTTTCGGAAACCTTTTTTTTAAAAAAAAAAGAAGTTATTTCGAAAAATGCTTAACGATATTATAAGATTACATATAAGAGACATATATATAATTCTTAACTTCTTTAGTTAAGAATCAAGTAATAATAGATAGATGATATTACAACTATACTATAATCAGGTTTATGAGATTACTAATTATTTTTAGCAATTAATAATCAAAGCAATTTTAAAATAGCACATAATAATTCCCTGATCGGCACCATTTACAAATGTAGTTGTATAATTGATGGCTTTGAAAATTTGTTCTGTAAAATTTTTTTATTATATCCTAGCTTCGGTCTATCGGCCGATCATTTATCCGATCCTAGTAAAATTTTAATTAGCCAGGATTTAACTAATACGTGTTATGAATTTTTTGATAAGGAAAAACAATTTTTTTTTTGAAACAAAAAAAAATAAATTTTAGATCACATTTAAATGATTCTTTCAAGCATACTGTATTCCAACCTCAAAAAGTTAAATGTTTCTTAGAATTATTAAGCAAAGAGATTACACTTGATTACTAAGAAATTTTTTTTTTTTTTTTAGAATAAATCACATGTTTAAACGAAAAATGATATAATAGCCGGATTTGTTGCCGGGTTATACATGATCTGCACACCGGTAATTAGCGCGAAATACTGTTACCCCTGTCGCACTAATGTTACTCATCATACTAATTTTTGAAATTTGTAAATGACCAGGAATTCGTCCGGGAAATCTCTAATTTTAGTTTAAAGTTTAAAATAGAAATCACGAGATTACCCATTTATTTCACGGAAACATATTCATAAATTGATTATTAATTGTTAAAATAATTATCATCATTCATCTTTTTCAATAATTTGAAATTTGGACAACAAATTTTCATTGCTTAGTATTAAAGAAGTTAAGAACTATATATAGTATATGTCTCTTCTGTTTATATATATATTTTTTTATTGAATGTGATCTTATAATATTTGTACCATTTTTTTCAACTTTCTCAAATCTTATTTTGTTGTAATTAACCGAAAATAATCTGTGTGCAAGATCATGTGTAACCTAGTATTAAATTTGGCTACCATTTTTTCATAGGATTTATAGTGTAGATCAATAATCAACACTCAAAAATTATATCAGGTTGTTTTTTTGTAAATTGTCCAGTTTTTTTTAAAAAAAAAAATGAATTCAAATAACGATAGCGAAATGTCCGATAACTTTAGTGATTTTCCAGCAGAACAAGTAGCTACTCCGGTTCTAGAATCCCCTGACGGAATTACTGAAGAAGATTCCACTTACATATCCATAACCGAGAATGAAGATAATTCAGGTAAATTAAATATCATTTTTAACATTTATTTGTGCCATTAATTATTATTCAATAAAATTAATAAATTAAAAAATCAATAGATGATTCTAATGAATCAAATACTGATATTTGGTTAATGGGAAATAATTCAATTAATCCAATATTGGGGATTTATCGATTACTTCATAGAACATTGGAAATACAAGAAGAATCTGATAACGAAAGTAGTTCAAATTCATATTCAAATGAAAATTATAATAACAATGAAGTTGATGCTGATGGTATGAATAAAGGCGAAATATTAATGAAATCGGGAGAATTCGGAATTGTGAGGGTTACTTTTAAATTATTTTACCCACTTTGATTTTAAACAAGAAAAATATTATTTACCGATCAATTTTTATTAATTTAGATTGAACCTTCTCCGGATAAAGGATTGAATGCAGAAAAGTTATTTTCAAAGAATGCTTGTCATCAGCTTATGTTAAGAGAAATATTACCAGGTCGATTTTCAAAAATTTCTTTTGGAAAAGTAAGAGTTCAAAATAATTATATTTTTAATTCAATATTTAATAATTTTCATATTTATCGTTGCATCAAAATTGTAGAATTTTAGACCAAATACTAATGGAGAAGTTGCAGTTAATTATGGTGTAAGAGCATATTCAGGACAATATTCCCTAGATGGTTCATTCTTTTATACTTGTTGCCAAGATTTTCGTGTACATATTTATGACACTACAAATCCTAATGTATTTAAAGAAACGAAAACAATTGTTGGAGATGGAAGATGGACGATTACTGATGCTAATCTTAGCTCAGATAATCAATGGTTAGCATACACAAGTATTACACCAATTGTATATTTGGCAAAGACGGACCCTAACGTTGATTTTCAAATACCTCTCGATTTCTCCAAAAGATTGTCATATAATTATGGGGTAAATTAATAAATTAAAGAAAATTTTTTTGCAAAATTTTTTAATTAGGAATTTTATTATTATTATAGTTATGGTCAATTCGTTTTTCAAATGATTCTAGAGAGTTAGTTGGAGGTGCTAGCGATAGTAGAATTTATGGTAAAATTCTTTCGATTATTATTATTATTATTATTTTAAATTTATCGTGTTGGTATTTAGTAACTTTTTATGTAGTTTATGATATCGAGACACGAAATGTCCTTCTTCAATTAGATGGACATGATGATGATGTCAACGCAGTATGTTTTGCAGATGATTCATCTCATATTCTATTTAGTGGTAGCGATGACACTTATATTAAAGTTTGGGATCGTCGATCAATGAGAGGTGGTAAAGAAAGCGGTGTCTTAGTGGGACATACTGAGGGAATTACTTATGTAACCGCAAAAGGTGATGGAAGATATTGTTTATCTAATAGTAAAGATCAAACAATGAAATTATGGGACATTAGGTAATTAAAATAATTGAGGTTGATCGTAATTTATGTAAAATTTTATTAAATAAAGAATTTTTCGTAGGATGATGGTTTCCGGTGAAAGATTTGAGAATATGCAATTGGAAGATTATAGACAAGGGTGGGATTATAGGTAAATTTAATTCAATAATAATCCATTGTTTGAACATATAATTAATCTTAATCAAAAAAAAAAAAATGCCCTAAGGTTAAATAATTATCCTGGTGATCGGCATTTTAAACATCCCCAAGATGTGTCTGTAATGACATATCGTGGTCATAGTGTATTGAAAACATTAATAAGATGTCACTTTTCACCGATAAGTACTACCGGACAAAGGTAATTTTAACTTTTTATTCCTCCAAAATTATGATTATATGTATTAATCAAACTTTTATTTAATCAAATTTAAAACTAACCATTGTATTTCAACAAAAGGTATCTTTATACTGGATCGGAAGATGGCCGTGTCAGAGTAAGCATTTTACGGAGCTGAATTAATTTTTCAATTTTATTTCCTAAGTATTAAACTTTAAAATTAATTCCAGATTTTTAGTCTTGATGGTCGCATAATACAATCTTTAGATGTGATAGAAGCAATACGTAATGAAAGAAATCGTAATACATCTCGGCCAATATATTTACATCGACCAGTAACAAGAGATGTTAGTTGGCATCCTCATCTACCACTTATGACTTCAACTAGTTGGTCGGGGCCTCATCGTGACTCTGGTGTTATTGTCTGCCATTCTTATAAAGAACCAGATCATTAATTAATATATTAATTAATGATCTTATGATTTGTATAATAAAGTATACTGTACGGTAAAAAGTTATTTAATACAAGCATATGTACACACATAGTAAAGAATTCGGATTAACTGAATGCCATCAGTTAACTCCCGAAATTTCTTCTTCTATGATTCTTTCTATGATTCGTTAATTCTCCATTACTCTTAACTTGACCATATATATTAATTAACTTAATTTGCACAAAGCTCAATATCTTTCCATTTGGTTTATAAATTTTAATACTATTAAGTTATTACTTAGTGCGCATGCCAATAACATGAAGTTTATATTACTTTATTAATCATAAATAACAATATTAAAGTAATTGACTAATCCGTTTTTCCTTTATTTTCTTTTACTTGAGTCTCTTAATCTTTCTTTACCTTTACGAACATTTGTCTTTTTTTTCACTTCTTTCACCTCTTTCACCTCTTTATCTTGCATCATCACCTCCCTACTTTGCTCATATTTTCTGTTTCTTCCTCTATCACGAGAAGCTTTCTTATATTTTTTATCATCTTCGTCTATTTCCTGCGACATTTCTTCAGAATCAGAGGACTGAAAAGAACTACCTAGATATGAAGATTCATCACTGATCATATTATCACCCGATCCAATACTACTAATCTCATCACTATCATAGATTTCCTTAGCTCCGTCATCACTTGTCTCGTCATCACTCAATTCTCTTCTTTTCGTATAATCCAGATTATTTAAGTTACTAACATTGCCTTCTTCATCTGTTCCAAAACCTAACAATGAACTTTGAGAAGAAAGCATATCATTTAACAATTGTGATGGAGTATGCTTATCTAATCCATAATTATGTTGAGGAGGTAATGTTGGTGTTGATGAAGTCGAAGCACCTACTCCCAAGTTCTTTCTTAATCGTGTCATAGGTCCAGGAGATGGTTGTCGTTTATTTTTGTCATCTAACAAACTATCTAAGTCCGGAATTTTTTGTTCAGTTTGTGTTATTGTAACCGTAAATGGATATTCTTTCTTCAAAGAACAAAATGTTAAATTTATACTTCGTATTTTTAGGTGAATATACTGTACATTTTTACCTGCATTAATGTTAACGTATCTCCATCAAATATTTCAATCTTATTATTTTTTCGTATTATTTTGCTTCCTTTCATCATTGCATTGGATCCGAGCTAAGCGAAAAGAATTTTTGTTGTTTATTGCATTAATAACATTAGGATGTTTAAATTACTCGTTACCTACCGCGGTAACATAAACTCGTCCATTTTTTACTTCAAACGAAGCTATCAATAAAAGAATTACAATAAATATTATAATACGTTATTTGTTATGTAATTATAGATATTTACCTTGCTTTCTACTTAACGTTTCATTTTCAATAAACCCTGAAGATCTTCCAAGTTCTAAAGTGTTTGGTTCAGTGAACCCAAATGTTTTATCAATTGGATCTAAAAAATGTAAAACTACATGAATAGGCATTATTATTACATTATATCTTTGAACTAATTCTGGATAAAAAATCTTTTCTTGGATGTGACATTTAAGGATAGGAAATCTTGCTGCGCCACAAATCGCAACACACCTCGGCTTTATGTTTATGGTAACACAGGTGACATATTATGATAAATATAAGAGTTTGCGTACACGTGATAAAGTGTATGAGCGTGTAGTCACGTGATTATAATAAGACTATCAATGGCACAAAAATTTAAATGAGAAGCCCAAGAATAAAGCACTTTAGTTTGAATAATTATGTATTATTTTGTTATTATTTTCGTAAAGATATATGAAAACATACAGTGGGCTGCCAAAAGTGACCGACCACCTGAAAATTAATGACATCAGTTATTTTCATTTATAATTTTTAAAAATTAGAAATATAAAAACCTTATTTTTAAAGTATTTTTATACTTAATTAATAATAAAATTATGTATAAATATCTAATTTTAATGTGAAAAAAAAAATTGACTTTTTAACCAGAGCAGCTAGAGCAAAATAGATGCCAAAAATCAATTTTTCAACTAAAAATTAGCTTATTTTCAAAAAATCAGAAAATTTTAATCAGCAATTTTTGGAAAAATCTGCTTTTAAATCATGAATTTTGATGAAATTTTATAATTTTTATATGTAGATCATCAATTTTACCAATTTTTAGGAGTGGATTTCTCAGCAACTACTAATCAAATTTTCTGATTTTTTGAAAATAAGCTAATTTTTAGTTGAAAAATCAATTTTTGGCATCCATATGGGCCGATTCAACGCATAAAATGGATTTGGCCAACATTATCGGATATTTTAAGGGAAATTTGGCTAAAATTACGGTATTTTCGGCCAAAATTACAGCATGTCCAACAGGTGGACAACAGGTTTTTGAGGAGACGATAGATGATTATTATTATAACTTTATACTTATCTTGCCAAAAATAATAATTTTGTAACTAAAGTAAATTTGTTAAGCTTTACAATTATTGTTATATAGAAAAAAAATACTTCATTGAAATTTTTTAACAAAAATTTTAATAAATAACAAATTTACTACTTAATGCATCAAATCAGCCCATATGTATTTTACTCTAGCTGCTCTGGTTAAAAAGTCAATTTTTTTTTTACATTAAAATTAGATATTTATACATAATTTTATTATTAATTAAGTATAAAAATACTTTAAAAATAGGTTTTTATATTTCTAATTTTAAAATAAATATAAAAATTATTAATAAAAATAACTGATTTTATTAATTTTTAGGCAGTCGGTTACTTTTGGCAGCCCACTGTACTTATAGAATTCAAATATGTTAAATCAATAAATGATAAAATGCTTTTTTTAAAAAATAATATTATATTTTCCAGTAGAAAGATTCTAAACTTTCACTAGTAAGTGATTCGCAAATTTTTTGGAACTTTTTTTGATATTTTCTCCAAAATATAATATTTAAAGTCTAAATAAAAACTATACCTGATGAACCTTCAAGTTCTAAAAGGTATGAAAATAATATATTTTTTTTAATATTTAGTAATTTACAAATGTTTTATTAAACACAGATATACTGAATAGCACAAAAATTTTTTTGTGTTATGATAGTTAATTAAAAGTCATATGATTACACTCTTCCCTTAAATGCAAAAAAATTTAACTTAAACTAACTGGGAGGTTTAGACTTCCTTTTCTAGACCTGAAGAGTTCAAATCCTGATTATTATTAGCTTCATTTGTTTATTTAAAATAAACACTATGCTCGCTCTTTTTTTTATACTGCTATTTCATTTGGTTTTTTTTTTTATATTATTTTTTTCTATACAAATTATTAATTTTTAAATTATAATTCTGGTCAAAATTTTCTTAATTCTGGCCAGATTCATAATGTCAGTCTAAATTTCATTAAAATCAGAATTTTCAGGTCAAAGGTAACACTATATTTATACAATGTAATACTTTTAGGGATGCTAACAGACCGGTCCGATCAGTCTCGGTTCGGTCTTCATCGGTCTACGGTTCAGAACCAGACCGAGGATTGGGACCGATCGGTCCTATAGGACTGCGGTCTGGACCGCGGTCCCATAAAAAAAATTTTAGTCTTAGTCGCATAATTTCTACCGGAATTAACAAAATTCAAAATTTCCTTTTTTGGAAATCTGTGTAACCTTGTGCGACAATAAATTTCAATTTTTGCGAAAATAAAAATTCCTTTTTTTGGAATTGTGTAATGTTACATAACTGTAATTCTGGCCGGCACTATGAATTTTAGTTAAAAAAATTTCGTATAGAACCGTCTAATAGGACTGACGGTCCTATATGGTCCAGTCCAAAATTGGTCCCTAGGACTGGACCACGGTCTGGTCGGTCTGGACCAGACCGTTAACATCCCTAAATACTTTTTCCAACAATAGTAAATATGTTTGTTCAAGGTTTGAAAAATATTTTTAAACTTTTTAAAAGTCAAAAACTTCACTTTATTCAGTTGCATCTGGCCAGTAAAGGTTGTCAATTATATGGTTATTTTGATATAGCAAACTAATAAAGTATTAAGAAAACTTTTTTAACTTTTTTCTTTTGCTTATTTTTTTTAGATAATTTCTTAATATACACTAGTGTGCGAAACACGAATCACGTGACTATAATTTGTCACCCATGTCACACCTAGTTTTCCATTTTTACTATTTATTCTAGGGACTTTGAATTTTTTTAGTAGGAAAAACCTTATTTGTCACATATTATATGTCACTTCTACTAATTTCAGCCAAATTTTATAATTCCAGCCAAAAATTACCATAATTTCCAATTTTGGAAATTAGAGTAACGTTACACAATCCAAAAAAAGGCAATTTTATTTCTCTGTAAAAATGAAAATTCATTACACAAATTTCTAAAATAGGAAATTTTTTATGCAGATCACCAAAAAATGATAATAATCACGTGACCCGTGTTTACACACGTAGTGTACAAATAGAAATAGTCTTTTTTTTAAATACAATATATTATAAATATATTTTATTTTAACATTACTTTAGATATAAAAAAAATATTTTCCTTTATGATTTTTTTGACATGTTCCTATGATTGTAAAGAACAAATGAAAGTTGTAAACAAAATTCGTTATTGTTGACAAAAAAAAATACATACTTCTAAAGCAACAAGATGACTAATTGAAAAATCCGCTAATGGGATTGATGCTTTATCAACCACCATTTTTGTCGTTTGAAATGCCCATAAAGAATATAATCTGTCATATCTCAAATTCATGAAATATGTTTTCATCAAATTACCTGATTATCAGAAGATACTTTAATACTTTAATACACACAAAAATAACAACTTTCTATATAATCTCTCATTTACCCATATTTAAGAATATGTCCTTCTCTAGGATCTCTTTTTCTTCGTAACTGTTGATTTATCGATTTTTGTGCTTTTAGCTGTACTTTCATCTCATCTTTTTTATGTTATAATGGTATGCTACAGAGGTTTGAATTCTGAGTTAAGGATTGGTATACTTTCTATTAGTGCTCTGAAAAAAATCCGATCTGATCTGGATCCGCAGATTTGATCTGAGCCAGATCCGATTCAGTTTTCAAAATTCTGATCTATAGATCAAATCAGATTTAAAAAAATCTGATCTGATCAATTTTGGATCAAATCAAATTATAACACAAGAAAATCTGATCTGATCTGAACAGATTCAGATCAAATTTTTTTTAAAAAAACCTTTTCCTGGATGAACGGACGAAGCCGGACGACCAAGATTTAAAAGAACGAACTAGGTAAGTTTGTTTCTTTTTTTTTGTTATTTTTACTTGAGAGAACGTAATTAACGGTTTTCTTCTTTTTTAGTAGGAAGTCTGAACAAACGAAGCCTAACGACACGACCAGGATTTAAAAAAAATGAAATGAACTATAGTAAGTTTGTTCCTTTTTTTTAAGTTTTTTTTTATTTTTTATTTAAGGGAACGTAATTAACATTCCCACTGGTCAGAATAGTCCATTTTGGCAAAATTTTAAATTGCCAAATGTTGGACGAAATTTGGTCTGACCTTAGCCGATCAGTACCAAAAAAATCGGCAACTAATTATATAGATGATTTGCACCATAACGCCTGCCATTTGTCAACAAATCGATCAGTAGAAATTGGAAACAAATTGGTAAAATCAAATTGACGATTGTTAATAAACCTAATAATTGATTACTGATTTTAATTTTATAATAATTTATTAATTAAATTTTATTAATTCATTTTATTAAAAATTACATATTAAATTAATATATAGCTATCTATCATCTATATACACCATCCACCATCCATCATCCACCCATCATTCTCACCTAACCTGATAAAAATCTGTAGAAAACCTACAAAAAAAGGAGGAAATGGTTAGTAACCTATTTTTTAAATAAAAAAAGTTAAAGTTTCAAAAGAAACTTACCCGATCCAATAAAAAGTCGAAGGGGAAATCTACAAAAAAAAAGAAGAAATGGTTAGCAAACCGATTCTTTTATAAAAAAAAATTTCGAAAAGTTTTGAAATAGTTCGAAACTTACCCGATCTATCAACCCGAAGTGAAAGCCTACAAAAAGAAAAAAGAAACGATTAGTAAATTGTTTCTTTTAAAGTTTTGAAATTAAATCAACTTCGAAACTTACTATCAACCATTCCATGCCCTAAACCCCTATTATACTTTGAGAGCATCTTGAATCTACAAAAAAAAAGAACGAAAAAGTTAGCAAACGTTTCGTTCAAATAAAAAAAGAAAAAAAAATTTTCTAAATACAAACGAACGTTAGTAACGTTCGTTAGATAAATTAATGAAATATTTTGAAGTTCTACCTTCGAAATGCCATGTTGAACTCATCCTGAAACCTGATCGAGGAGATTTTGGCGTCCATATTGAAGCCGATTTCCTACAAAAAAAATAAAAAAATGTTTAAAATAAACGTTTTTTATTAAGTTTCAAAAAAAAAACTTTG